GGCATTTTAACATGGGGAGTCTATGGGACTGACTCCCTTTTGCAGCCAGCCTCTAGCGGCCAGTTGACGAATTACAGTTTAAGTCACTTCCGTGTTGGCTTCACGAGAGAGAGTGGGAGGTTGCCACTTGGTCGCGACTCATGATTCTCAACTTGAGAGGACTCTTTTTGTTATTTTCCCGCTTTAGCAAGTTAACAAATATTCGTTGTTGTTTTTATAAACCCGCTAATAAAAATGTGGTGGACTGAGTCATTTCTGGCTGAATTGGACAGGCGATTTGAAGCGATGGCATTGAGTGTGACGTGTGATGCAGTATTCAGTTTAAGGGTGTTTTCACACTTGGTCCTTTTCAGGGGTCTGAGCGCGGTTCACGTGATTTTTGGCCCATATGTGAACACACCAAACGATCTCAGACCCTTCAGAAGCGAACCGAACCGAGACCATCTCAGGAGGTGGTCTGAGTACGGTTTGCTTTCGGCTAAAGGTACGGTTCGCTAAAAACATGCATTATGAACACAAATCGGTCCGGGCTCACTTGATTTTTCCATTCGTGAATTCCGATGTAGTTTTGTCATCAGATGTCTCCGTAGTCCGTACAAATCAGCTGTTCATAATGGCAGCTTGTTCTGGCAGATCTCTACAAATTATTTGCTCACAACGCTACACTCGTTTATTTTAATTTCAACCGCTTCCAAACTGTGTAAGAGAGGCACGGCTGTGCGCCTGGCCAGTTTAAACTTTTTGATATATGAGCACGCACATCCCAGCCGGGGGCTACTCTCTTTAGCATTTATGTGTTTCAGCTGTCAAAAACACCCATGGTTCACATAAACACAGTTGGTTTTGTCTCAATCGAATGTAAACATCTGGGAAAGAAATCACATGTGTGTCAATATACTGATCTGTGCATTATTGTAGCCTAATATGAGTCTATATTATTCATACGATTAATAACATTCAGTTTATTTTTTTTTTCATTTGATTAGTACATTTCTTACTTAAATGCTGCATAAGGATACCTGTACTGTAACTGAAAAATTTAAAGCAGTTTATTATATTTTATTTTATTTTATTTGTCCAATTTATTAATTTTTTTCTATCTCAATGTCATCAATGCCTTTTCCGCAGGTCCTTAAAAGTCTTAAATTTAATTGTATCAAATTTAAGGCCATAAAAAGCATAATGGGGACGGAAAGACAATTGCCATATAGCTTAATTTGATGATTAAATTTTACAAAAAAAAAAAGACTATATTTCATTGGATAAATACGAGCGCTGCAGGTTTCAAAGTCAGGTGCTGCGCTGCTTTGTGTACTACCGTTCCCGGGGAAACTGCTAAAACGCCACCTGCTGGCAGAGAATGAAATAGCATTTTTTAACAGCCCTTCTGCTGGTTTAAAGTAACAATTGATATTAAACCAGCCATTAAACCAATAATATAATAGTTGATACTTTTAATTTTTGACTGGTTTAAAGGCTGAAATTTGAAATTATATTATATTTATATATTTATATATTTTATTTTTGTGAAAACCTGTATCTGAACTGTAAATCATGCTTTTTACAGTCATTTTGCAGTTTAATATGTTACCATAGACATTACCCCACCCCACTCATGTGGCATTAATTTTATCTGTGCAGGTCTTAAAAACAGTCTTAAAAAGTCTTAAATTTGAGCTTAAAAATCCTGCAGAAACCATATGTGCTATAAAATTAACATGCTTACATAAACAAGGAAAACAATTCAAAATAAATATTACAAATGTGTATTACAAATTTTTGTGGAAAAGATACAAATATTCCAGTTTTGGAGGCCATAATGTCAGCCATCAAACACTGAACTGGACTAGATCCAAACGCAACAGTCTGAACACAAAGAGGTCTGAGACACCATACACCTTACTGCTTAAGTGGACCAAAAAAGGATTTGAGTTCTCTTTCAGGAACTGCGATAGTATGAACGTAAAGAAAACTGGGTCCTTTTTCACTTGGTCCACTTAAAGGGGTCTGGGTTCGGTTCTTTTAAAGAGGACTCAAGTGTGAAAACACCCTAAGCATGCGCACAAGCGCTTCACCCTCGGCTTGTGACAGCTGAAGTGGATCGTGTGAAATGTGCGATCGCATCACCGATCACTCTTGAGAAACTTAAAGATGAAGTAGCTACCGAAGGACAAATATCCAAACTTGTTCAGACTACTGCAGCTTGCACTCACGCTGCCCGTTGGTTCGGCTACATCAGAAATAAGTTTCTCAGTTATGAGGAGAATCTGGCTCCGATCTTCAGTGGCACAGGACAGATTCTCATATCTTTATTTACTGCACATAGAGAACGATTTGACTGAAAAACTGTCAGAAGAGAAGAGATAGGCTAGTGAAAGAAAGACAGTGGTCATCTACGCAATTCGGAAAAAGAGGCGGTTTTTCTGCATTAGGTAGCCTATGTTTTTCTGTTTTGTTTTTTTATGTATTTTAATGTCGAATATATGTTAGCCTATATAAATATATGAAATGTAGAACATATAAAAAAGTGTTGGTGGCTCCCCTTACGAAAAAGAAGTTTATTCAAGTGTGCTATTAGTATACTTCTTTTAAACTAAAAATAGGAAAGTATACTTTTAGTCTACTTTTTATGTACTTCTCAGAAATGGGCTTTATGTACTTCTCAGAAATATACTTAAAATGACATTTAAGTATACTTGACTTATACTTAGAAAAAGTCTAAATATATTTTAGCTATAATTGTGCTCCTAGAACCCGTGTTTTCATTGTTATACTGTAGGGGGCGCTAGTACACATCTTCTGTACAGAATTTCCAAAAAACACAAGTGAAGAAGAAACCGAAACAACAAATCCTTCCACATGTATTCTAACATGATCATCAGATAATAGTTGATACTTTTAATTTTTGACTGGTTTAAAGGCTGAAATTTGAAATTATATTATATTTATATATTTATATATTTTCTTTTTGTGAAAACCTGTATCTGAACTGTAAATCATGCTTTTTACAGTCATTTTGCAGTTTAATATGTTACCATAGACATTACCCCACCCCACTCATGTGGCATTAATTTTATCTGTGCAGGTCTTAAAAACAGTCTTAAAAAGTCTTAAATTTGAGCTTAAAAATCCTGCAGAAACCATATGTGCTATAAAATTAACATGCTTACATAAACAAGGAAAACAATTCAAAATAAATATTACAAATGTGTATTACAAATTTTTGTGGAAAAGATACAAATATTCCAGTTTTGGAGGCCATAATGTCAGCCATCAAACACTGAACTGGACTAGATCCAAACGCAACAGTCTGAACACAAAGAGGTCTGAGACACCATACACCTTACTGCTTAAGTGGACCAAAAAAGGATTTGAGTTCTCTTTCAGGAACTGCGATAGTATGAACGTAAAGAAAACTGGGTCCTTTTTCACTTGGTCCACTTAAAGGGGTCTGGGTTCGGTTCTTTTAAAGAGGACTCAAGTGTGAAAACACCCTAAGCATGCGCACAAGCGCTTCACCCTCGGCTTGTGACAGCTGAAGTGGATCGTGTGAAATGTGCGATCGCATCACCGATCACTCTTGAGAAACTTAAAGATGAAGTAGCTACCGAAGGACAAATATCCAAACTTTTTCAGACTACTGCAGCTTGCACTCACGCTGCCCGTTGGTTCGGCTACATCAGAAATAAGTTTCTCAGTTATGAGGAGAATCTGGCTCCGATCTTCAGTGGCACAGGACAGATTCTCATATCTTTATTTACTGCACATAGAGAACGATTTGACTGAAAAACTGTCAGAAGAGAAGAGATAGGCTAGTGAAAGAAAGACAGTGGTCATCTACGCAATTCGGAAAAAGAGGCGGTTTTTCTGCATTAGGTAGCCTATGTTTTTCTGTTTTGTTTTTTTATGTATTTTAATGTCGAATATATGTTAGCCTATATAAATATATGAAATGTAGAACATATAAAAAAGTGTTGGTACTTACTATATAAAGTATACTTAAAAATATACTTGAACTTTACTTAAGTATACTTACTAAAATAAACTTGAAGTATACTACTTTTTGGTAAGGGTCATCTGCCAGTCAATAATCCCCAAGCATAAAAGTGAAACTCCGCCTATGGATAATAAATCATAAATCGGTTAGTCTTGACTGTCGAATCAGCTCACGTGTGATCCGCGCTTCCGTCAAACGGTTCCGAACAGAACCGATGCGCGAGACTCGATGAAGGAGAGGAAGCGGCCAGAAGAAGCAGTGAAATGTAGCAACATCACTGACCTGTTCAGGGCTTCAAGTGCAGGTCAGTTTCATCTGTAAATACGCTAGATAGTTTTGTCTTTATTAACCTAGTTGAGTATTAAACTGCTAGTATCTGTTAGGCTATCAGGAGCACCCCATTATTATCATCATTCAGAATGCTGTCCTAAAGGACATCAATATCGATTGTAAAGTTACATTAATAAATTTAGCAGAGACAGATATTCACATGGATTTATTGTACAGGGAGGGAGGGAGCTAGAGCAGACAGCAACACAAAAATAATATGAGTCACAGCCTCACAGCCTAATAATTCAATAGCGTATTAGACTTTTCCAGCAAATATATTGTACTAATTTTAACATTTAGGCAATTTAGGAATTGTGTTTTAATACACTTCCAGTCAAAAGGTTTTTTGATCAGTAAGATTTTATGGGGTACAACAGCTTGTCACTGGAACAGGACCCTTAAAAGGACATATTTGTTCCATTTTTACCACTAATAGGTAGGCCTACAAATTAGTACCTTAAGGGTACGAATTACTACTCTTAAGGTACTAATATGTACGGTGTACTGCTCAAGCTGTTGTACCCCAAAAGGTGCAATTTTGGCCCCTTTTTTTCCCGTGTGGCCTAGATGAGTGTGAGATTTCCCGGCCTGAAATTGTGTCCCAGTCCGACCCTGCTTATTTGAACTATTCTTAAAGTTCTTTAAAAAAAAAAATTCTTCTAATTTTCCACAGACCTGACCAATGGGAGCTGCCAAATCCCTCTGGCAAGTGACAGAGTGGGTCTGACCTACATCTACAGCCTTGCTTTCTCTATTGGACTCCCGGCTAACCTGCTCTCCCTCAGTCGCTTTAGGGTTTCTGATGCCCTGCTCTATTCTAGGGTAAGTGAAATGCATTTTTTGTTCATGTTTGGGTGTACCTGGGTTAATAAAATAATGCTCTTTTTAGTCCAAATCTAATAATTTATTTAAAAATGCAGTTCATGTGTGCATTACACCTCTTCTACATTGAGCATGTTTTTAACTTCTAAATAAAATTCATTTATATTTTTATGGGGGAGGGGGTCATGAGGTCAGTGTCAGGGCGATGCTAGTCTCAGCCTCAGACGTCACACCCACGGAACGTTGGCTGAACATCTGATGCATATGGCACACTTCAGGTGTTTCAAAGTCCTCATCTGATTGGCTGAATTCTACAGAATTTCCGGGAGACGTGTGTCGCATTTATTAATGGTCCACCTGAAAACAAAGATGCCATGGCGCCAAACCCCCTCATGGAAGAACAAAGCCGTCATGTTTACAACTGTGACCGTGAGCGCTTATCGGGATCAACTAAACGCTAGATTAGTATGTGAAATATGTAAAGTTTGCGGCATAGACTCTTTAAAATATGTCCAAGAGTTTTACACACTGGTCTGTTATTGTGGGGACATTTCCACGCCCATAAACATTACGCGGCACAAAATGAAATGTGATTGGTTGATTTACCTGTAAGTCATATGGCCTCTTGGGCGGTCCTTGGCCATTCAAAGCGGCCAGGGTTCCCAGACCTTCTGCCGTCAGTCTGAAGGTCTGGCTACGTGAGACTAGGGCGATGAAAGTGTCCTCATGTCATAATGAAAAAGAAAAATACATATGTCACCATTAAAAGAATGAAATTCCCTAGGAAACCCATATTACATAGTTTATTTTATTATTATTTCTTAGAAATGTATTACTATTATTAATATTTAATCAAATAAATTGTCAGCCAAATCAATGTGGTGCAGCCAAAATGCAGAAAAAAAAACATAAAACAGGAAGTGATATCACAGGGAGGGCATCTGCTGACCCTGTGTGTCAAGTCTTTTAAAATAAGATGATTTGACCATTTCATGACAAGATCTCCTTAATGCAGTGATGTATATGTATAAATAATTAATAATTTAAAAACATTTAAAAATGGTTTTAAAAATAAGAAATGTACATGTATTATGCATTCAGGGTGTAAAGAATATATTTTCATGTTTTACTTATGTATTTGTTATATATATTTTTATGTGGTTTTAATTTTTCTTGAATATGGTATAAAAGGTTTTTAAAACCCTATGAACCCAACATGAATACTGAGAGTACGAGTACATTTCTAAGAACTTGGCACGTGTGATTTAAAATCTTTATTATCGCAGACGCTCTTATTTGTCATTGACTCCACCTGTATTGTTTACCTTACAAAAACGTTTTACCAACCCGTATTTATCGGCACGTTAGAAAAATGTTGTCTCAGCACACAGGCCTAGGAATGAATTAGCACGCCATCAAAAATGCCACTGCTCAGATGACAAACACAGATACAGCGTCTGTCTCTTTAAAGGAATGTTACTGTAAACACAATCATAACCTTTTGGCCTTTTGGCCTTTCTTTCCTCTTATTGACATTCAGGTACACCTCTGCTCGAATCGGGCTGACTCTACGAAACTCCCCGTCTGTCGCGGATCACGAACGCCGCAAGATTGTCGCAACCCTGGTTGTCATCACTGTCATCTTCATTGTCATTTTTGGTCCCTATCATCTGGTGGTCGGCTACAGATTTGTCAGCCTGCTTCTCACAGAAAGTGAAAAAGACCAGTGTTTGGTGGAAGTTTCTCTTTACCTTTACTATCGAATCTGCTACGGGCTCACCAGCCTCAACACCCTTCTAGACCCTCTTTTCTACATCTTTCTTTGTAACGATGCTCGTCAAGAGCTTCGCAGATCTCTTCTCTGCCCGTGCCGGGGTCATAGGGTGCACCAGGGATCACCAGTAACATCTTTTCCCAAAAGTCGCCTCGATCGCAGTGCAGATGTGTAGCTGTCTCATACAGATGCTAATCAGAGTTGGAGTCTTTGTAAGGCATGTGCTGAAAACAAGGTTTTCACACATGACGTGAAAATGTCTTATCAGACTGAGATTTGACAAATTGCGTCAAATGGCACGTCCTCTGGATCACTGTCAGTAGAGCTACGTCTTCAGCATCTTCAGTCAAATGTTTAGTCTGCCAGACAGCCTGAGGAGATTCTAATGCGTTCTCTATATTGCTTAAAATACTTCAGGTGTAATTACTCTAGCATTCAAAAGTTTGGGGTTGTTGTCTCTTATGCTCACCAAGACAAAATACAGTAAAATCAATAATATTGTAAGATATAGTTTTAAAAACTATTGTCTATTTTAATTTATTTCTGTGATGGCAAAGCTGTATTTTCAGCAGCCATTACTCCATGCGTCACGTGATCCTTTAGAAATCATCCTAATATGCTGATTTGGTGCTCAAGAAACTTTTTTATTATTGTCAATGTTAAAAACTGTTTTGCTGCTTAATATTTTTGTGGAAACCACGATGGTTGGTTTTCGGGATTCTTTGATCAATATGAGTTAAAAAGGACAGCATTTATTTGAAATAGAAATCTATTGTAACAATGTAAAAGTCTTTACTTGCTTGTTTCCACCATGGGATAAAAAAAGGAAGTTGCAACTTTTATCTCATATTTCATACTTTTTTCTCACAGTTTTGAGTTTATATCTCACAATTTACACTTGTTTCTCAGAGTTGTGAGATTTAAACTAGAAATTCTGAGAAAAACTGTCTGAATTGTGGGATATAAACTTACATTTGTGAGAACAAGAGTTGGAATTGTAAGATTAAAAGTTGCAAAACCTTTTTTTTTTTAATTCTGTGGCTGAAACGAGCAAAAGGAACTGCGAAATATAAACTCAGAATTCTGAGGGGGGATCGGAATTGCGAGAAAGTAAGAGTTGTATCTTGAATTTGATTGTGAAATCTGAAAAAAGTCAAGAGTTGTAAGATAAAAATTTGCAAAAAAAAAAAAATTTTTTTTTTTTTTTTGCTCCTTGGTGAAAACTGGCTTCTATACTTTACTGACACATTTGATCAGTTTAGGTGTCCTGATTATTAAAAGTATTAAATTCTTCCTTTAAAAAAAAAAAATCTTACTGACCCCAAACTTTTGAATGATAGTATAATGTCCAACATCTGTAAAATCTGTGCTGTGCTCTGTTGTTTTAACAGAAACACAAGACCGTGATGAAAGTGAGAAATAAGCATATAGAACTGGTTCAGGATTAGTTTAAAAAAAAAAAAAAGCTGCTTAAAAGCCAAAGCTCCTAAGGTCAAGCTCTTCTGAAATGGTTTTAAGAATTTCCAAAACAGGTCTGACACCTACTGGAGGATATATGCAAAGGTGGCTTTGAAATGAAATCTTTTGAATGAAAAGATTCTGCATTGCCATTATGAATGTAACTACATGCCTAGAGTGAGACTGCATGTGCTTGCTTTGGATGCACTTATACTAGTGGGCTGAAATGTATACGTTCCAGCATACTGCAGCTATCATACGTTCACCTCCGCAAGAAACTGGCAATATTCAGAATAGAAGAATAATGTACTGCTTACTGTGCAGTATATGCCGCCTACTCTTTTTAAAATAGAATGTGAAACAGAACACAGTATGAGAATGCAACAATAAACACTTAAAAACAGTAGTGTGCTGCATTGTTTTCATATGACTTCATTACAAAGTGGTTGATACAGCATAAGGAGAGATGGCAGATTTCCAAATCAGTGTCTGCATTTGATTGAGCACTGAAACAAAAATGTAAAAAAAAAAGAAGATTAATAACACTGAGTACCTGTAAAAGATGTACTATAATATATAATAAAATATTTTCAATTTATATGTTCCTTGCAAAACAATTTTTTTTTTTTTGTCACAGCTGGTTTTAATATACAGCTATTGAATGACTGTCAATGGAGAAAGATGCTTTTTAGGCCCAGATGGTGTAGTTACAGAATCTACCAGAATATGACTTGCTAAAAATGGGCCCCCTGGAAAAAGTTCATGACTTTTTCATAAGTTTTGAATATATATTTACTGTACATTGACAGTTTCCTTTCTAGTTCAGGTGATATGTGAAAATAATGTTCACTTTTTCATAAAAGCATGAAACTTGGTACGCTTGTATAGTTTGCGGCCCTAAACATTTTCAGAAATGGAGTCATCGCAAAAACACCTCGTGGTTACCATGGCGACCATTTTACTTTCCGCCATAACCAAATTATGTATTTTGTGTCATAGCTCCTGAACAAAACGTGATAACACAGAAAGGGTGAAGTCTACCACTATGTTTTGATGGTCAAGGATTACAATGATACCATATACAGCAACATAAACTGTTCAGATGAAGAGTTAATGGTGAAATCAGCAATGTGAGAAGGAAATCACATTATCTGAGTATAGTATCACAGCATTAATAGTACATATTATGGCTATTAATTTTTTCTTTCTTTGATAATTAACTAATATTTTATTTAATAATACATTAAAAGATTGTTTTAAAGAATACTATCATATATTTCAGAGATATTTAATAAATATTTATACTCAGGTAAGTGTATTTTTCCTTAGCTCTCAGGCAGAGTGTGTTTCCAGTACATTCTTGTTCTCTCTCAACAACGCTCTAACATCACGCACAGATGGCAATGCAATCAGGTGAACAGTTAATGGTTAATTCAGTGACTTTATGAGAATGATTGCAATGAAATCTCAGAAGATGCAGAATAAAATTTCAAACATATTTCATGTAAAATTAATTTACAATCACTCTCTGGGGCCAGAGTTGTCTATAATGTCCACAGGGGGGCAGCCAGAGTCCTGCATGCGGGCGGGTACACGCTGGTGAATCGCTAATATTTGATGTAATGGGTGGAATAATATTTATGTGTAGGGTGTGATGAGGGTGCGGGCCGGACGGTGACAAGTACGGGCGGGTTGCAGGTCCAATAACCAAGACTATTTCGACTCTGTCCAGTACATGCTGAGCAATGTAGCCAATCGCACTGCCACTGATTGACAGCTGTAGTGATTATATTAAAGAGAGCGCTCTTTGTCAAATTGGTTGGGTATGGGATTAAATTAGTGTTGCTGTCAGATAACATGTCGGGTGTTCTGTTAATTACTGCGATTGTGGGAAGATCATTTCACCAGCCAGGAAAGGTGAATGAAAATGCCTCTCTGTGATGCTGCCACGAGGCATTGCTTACTTACAGATCTCAGGCTTCTGGAGGGGATGTATATTCGTAAGAGTGAGGAGGAAGTAGGAGGGTGCTGAGCCTGTGGCTGTTCTGTACGCAAACATCAATGTCTTGAACTTGATGCGAGCCACAACAGGTAGCCAGTGCAGGGAGATAAAGAGAGGAGTGAAGTGGGCCCTTTTGGGCTCATGGAAGACCAGCCGTGCCGCTGCATTCTGAATCATTTGTCGAGGTTTGATTGCACATGATGGAAGTCCAAGAATAATTTTTGATGAACCTAGCAGGATGATGAAATCATGCTGTAGAGTCGGAGTGGCAGGGAAAACGAGAAGCTCAGTCTTTGCCAGGTTGAGCTGCAGGTGTTCCTTCATCCATGCCGAGATGTTTACCAGGCAGCCTGAGATCCATGCAGCTACTATTGGATTGTCTGGTTGAAATGAATGATAGAGCTGTGTGTCATCAGCATAGCAATGGTAGGAGAAATCATGTGCTTGTATAATGGGTCCCAGTGATATAGTGTATATGGTGAAGAGGAGGGGTCCAAGAACGGATCCCTGAGGAAACCCTGTGACCGGTTGATGTTCTTTGGATACCTCTCCTCCCCAGGAAACCCTGAAAGACCTACCTGTGAGATAAGATTCAAACCAGTGGAGTGCAGATCCTGTGATGGCAGACAGGAGAATCTGATGATTCACACTGTCAAAAGCAGCAGATAGATCCAGCAGAATAAGAACTGATGATTTGGAATCAGCTATCGCTATCTGCAGGGCAACAGTGACCAATAGAAAAGCAGTCTCAGTTGAATAGCTGCTGCTGAAACCTGATTGGTTAAAGTTCAATTGGTCATTCTGTGAAAGATATAATGTAACTGTGTCTATATAGGTGTGAACCAAATGGTCCATTCCATTAGAATAACAAAGGAACAGCATTCCTCAGGAACGTCTTGTAGATTCTAGTATCTGTTGTTTGTAGCCCTTTTGTCTTTATAAGTATAAAATTATATCCCACAGACGGAACTTTGGGAGAAGCTAGGATTCTTACAAGGGTTAAGATTGTTTGAAGGATGGCATGTTAACATCGCTATTGAAGAACTGCTACACTACCATCTTCAATAAATTCTTCTCCCCGCAAAAATTTTGGTCAAGCCTGCTTAATTTTTTGTATTAGAGAAATCTAGTACATTGGTGAGCCACCCAAAAGACTGCTTAGCAAAAATACAGTAAAGGATGATGATACATGGGGCGACTTTTTAGGTTAGAAGGGGTGGTATGCACTGGCCTGTCTAGACAGATATTGTCTTGAGAAGAAGTTAAAGTGAATAATAAAGTGTCAGTTGCTGTATTTACATTCAGAGATGAGAAATGGGTGGGTGAGGGAAGAGAGGAGGACACTACAGAGGAAAGATGGAAGGGTGAAAAGGAGCGTAGGTTTTGCCTAAAAGTACCTGGTAGAGTAATTGGTGGCACACAGGTAGTAATATGTAGGTTAAATGTAATCAGAGATGTCTAGAGGTGTTACCAAATGTTGTCTGTGATACAATTGCATGTGTAAATTAAGTCAAGCCGGTTGCCTGACTTGTTAGTGCTTGTGGTGGTAAGCCATTTGAGATCGAATGAAGCTAGGAGTGGAAGTGGAAGTCTGCAGTGTAAGGCTTCTCCAGATGGATTTCGAAGTCACCAAAGACTACAAGTGGACTGCCATCCACAGAGAATGAGGACAGCAGCCCATACAGCTCCT